CTGTGATGGGTACCCTGGATTCTCTGTCACGGTCTGTGATGGGTACCAAGGTTCTCTGTCACGGTCTGTGATGGGTACCCGGGTTCTCTGTCACGGTCTGTGGGGGGAGTGGGTCCAAATTTCTACCCCTAAACACTTCAACACTCCTTTCAGATCGTGTTTCACAAAAGGTAGGGAACATAGAAATACTACAAACGGCTAAACCCTAATATTATACCGATTTCTGTCTTATACTTTTTATCAACAAAACAAAAGATTATCAATTAGTGCTTAAAGTATCGCAGTTGATAAGAATGTCTGATAGTATATCCATACAGATGATTTTACTATATTGAAGCTGAATGTATTATAATTATTATATTCATATGTTATTCAACGCGTCGAGTATTATATTATTTTCAAATGCTTCATTTTAACGAATAGGATCTATTAAGCAAAACACTTCTAATTATTCCATTGGAATACTGTACCCAAGATGAAGAAATTTCTATGATCATATATCCTATATCTGCTGAAGAATAAATTTAACTACATCTATTCTGTAGACTTTTATCCAAAATCACCACTACTTATTATAAGCCCTAAGTATAATCGAATATTTTCATAGACAGTTGCAACTTTAAGGAATTTTTATTATAAACACTTCTCAGCGAAGCTTCTTTAAAGCTAAAATATGAACTCTCATATCTTATTTAGCTTGATTATACTAATACAATTTATGTAAAATACAAAAATTTCTAAAAAGCATCAATTGTTTTTCAAGAATAATTGATCGTCAGAGAATGGGACTATCCTATTTATTTTGTGCATTTTAAACAGATCTCTTTTTCTTTTACTGCCCTCACAGAGGCACAATTTTTAATTTGCTCCGTTACTATTCATTCGTTATTTATATCCTTTTTTTTCTTTATGCACTTTATTTCATTTTTATTCTAATCATTGAGCTAACTGACGAATAAGCCTGTTGCATGCTTTTATTATTTCTATAATAGGTTTCAACGTATTATTATGCATCTCGATAAACTTGGAAATACTAATATTACTTATTTCCGAAAGTTAGAACTTGATCAGTTCATGTTTGTCGTATAGGTCAAATGACGATTGGGGTAAATCAATACATCACTATCCATCATGATATAATCATTTATCTGCACTAAAGTCGGAAACTGCAACTATTAACAACATTCAAAAACCTATTCCAGTTATTTAAATTTTAAGCAAGACTTTGGAATGTAGTAGAACAAGCTATGCGTTGCTACGAAAGTTTTTGTACCTAACGATCGGTGACCACAGTTGGTAAGGTTTGTATGGGAAATGAGGAGAGAGTCGGAAAATTTCCACTCATTGTTTTCCTTGGAAAAGACGGAAACTCAAGTTTATAGGAAAATATTCCATGGTTTCCAGCAAATTATCTTATAAATCAGAAGATGATCTCAGACAATGCTAGTCGTCGACTAAATAAATCAAAAAAAAAAACGAGATACCGAAACCACTAGGAAAAAAAGTTACCTGGACCGAAACTAAAAAACTTCGTTCCGCACATCTGTAATCTTGCCCATAGAATGTTCTTTACTGGTTTTCAACGAATTCATAGTTTTCTTATCGAAGTCTTTAACTCTTCAACATCCGAACTATCAATCTAATTCATTTTTATTTTTCTTTTAAAAACCTATTTTCAATGTTATAATCATGTTCACAAGAAAAAAGAAAATTTCGAACTTACATATTTGCATATAAAGTAAAATCTTTAGCTTTGAAGCCAACAGAAAAATTATTTTTTGTTAATAATGATCGAGCTGTATTAAAAACATATTGATAACCAGCTAACCAACCTTGATGACCGACAACAATGGCACCATTAAGAATTGGACCATTATTATCAAAAGCAACATTTGTTTCAACATGAGCTCTATCATGTGTATATGTTGTACGAAGTTCAGCTGTTTTCTTCCTAAAATAAAAATATAAATCATTTTAAAATCATATATATATATATATATATATGTATATAATTTTTTTAGTTTTCTTGAATTTTATTATTTCCAAAAAAAAACAAAAGAACAAAATAAAAATATTTTTACCAATATCTGTTGTTTCCCGAATGAGAATAAGATCCCGTTAGATGTAATTTTTTCAATTGTGTACGCACACGTATCTGAAGTTTGGCACTGTAGCTGTAAATATGTTGTTGAGAAGATAAAACTAACTATTTATTTTTATCCATTTAGAATATATTAAACGAAACAAATACCTCTGGGATGTAATATCTAAGGATAATGGACGGGTTTTCATACCAAAATGAATTCTCTCGTAGCTATTGCTATTGCTATAAAGGTGTGTTTTTTTGATCAATCGAAAAAAAAATTATATACGAAATATTTTTGTTATTTTACCCAGTATTTGGTATGAGACTTGCATCAAATACAATTTTAAATCCTTCAGCTAATTGATTATCCGCTGTTATTTCACATTTAAGTAAATTATCTGTATTCCATTTTTCCAAAAATGTTAAACCATATTCAGGAACAACATATTTGGTTTCAAGACTACCAGATGTTTTTAATGTTTCAGTATTATGTTCGCCAATAACATTAAAATTAACTCCATTAGCAGTACGAGTTTTAATATCAAGTTTAAATATATTAAAAACTATGAAAAATATTCAAGATAAACATATATTAAATGTAAATAATAAAATCATACAGTAGCCCTTATTAAAAATATCGGAAACTTGTTTGTTAAGATCAGAAAATTTTGGTGGAGCCATTTATATAATTTTAATATGTGGTAAAAAAAAATACCGTCTCAAGAAAGAAAAACAGTAGGTCAAAGTAAATAGAACGAACCAATACTTCTGCACATTGATCATTCATCGATTTAAGCAATCTGGATTTGTTGATTGGTCATTGTTCAACCAATAGATAAACAATTATCTAGATGAAAATCATTTCGTTTCAGTCGAGTTTTTTTTCGATTTTCTTTTCTTATATATAATATGTATATTTATAAAATATTTTAATAATAATTATAAAATATTAAATTATTATTAATCATGGAGGTTGTTACTCAGTTTAGTTACAATATCATGGTAGATTCTTTCTAACGATGAGAGACATGCAAAGCATATTATCGATAAATATGAGAATCAATCAACATTTTTCTCTTACAGATTTATTTGAATTAGAAAAAAAGAAAGCCTTGAACGCATTTATTAATTTTTTTTGTGTAATTATATGAAATGAAATTTTGAATATTAGGCATGTTTGTCTAAATTGATAATCCAGAGATGAATTTGATAATTTGATTTGATGATATACATTGAATGTAAGAAAGAGAATCAATCAATTGGCAAAAAAAAGAACTGAAATTTTTGTTACAATTTTAAAACTAATTTCAAATAACATTTCACTGATAACATATAAATTTTACAAAGATTAAACAAAACATAAAACTTTGAATAGATTTCATTTGCTAAAAAACTCAAATAATTTAAGACTTAATTGATATTTGTTCTTACGAGGGAATCCATCCAAATGATAATTTTCGTTTGAGTGCTCATAGGTAGGATTCATATAAAAGTTCCTAAAGAATTCGTGCTATTAGGTTTTTCTTCTTGAGTTATGGTCATTTTACTGAACTTTTAACTCATTGTAGGATATCATAAAAAAAATTGGAACAAGGAGTTTTGACCTGAAATTCTCTCCAAGAACAACTCTTATGATTCTTATGATGTCTTGAAAATTTCAGTTCACATGGATGATTTCTTCTTAAGATATCGTATGACTAAAAACTGAGCTATTTTTGGAGTTCTTGTATTAAAAGTAACGTTTTTTTTTTTTACAAACGTGTTATCTCTGAAGGAAACATTTGCTTGAACTGAATCTTTCAGGATATCATAAGAATCATGAGAGTTATTGTTCGAGAGAATTTCAGGGTGAAACTCCTTATTGTGATTTTTCTCGTAATATTCTACAACAGACTGAAAGTTTAGTAAAATGATAATAACTTGAGAAGAAAGATTTAATAACATGAACTCTTTCAGAATTTTTATCTACACTATAAGTTCTACTTATGAGCACTCAAATGGAGATTATCAATCGGATAGGTTCTCTCGTTAGTCAAGTGAGGAAGACTCTGATTTTTAATGAAAAATAAATGTTGATTGATGATAGTCTCTAGAAAGCGATTGATGAGATTTATATAAAACGTCAGAACTTTCGAACATGAGTAAATAAATATCTGTGACATATACAGTAATGCAGATAATCATGGGCAATTGCCCACAAATTTTTTTTTTTTGAAAGTGGTGACAATCGCCTATACTTGCCTACTCCTCAAAATGGTTTGACTATAGTAAATTGTCTACTACTCAAATATGGCTGGCTATGCAAATAAATGTATATCTTTTTATTATATGTATTATACACTTTTAATTCATATTAAAATTTTATTCAATTTCTATTTTAAATCTATCAGCAACAAATCAATAAGATAATAACCAACGAACAAATTCGACGAGTCATGGAGGTCAATCTTATTATTCTGAATATTATCCTACTCAATCTGTATTTTCTTTTGACAAGTCGCGACAATCATTCTTCTCATTTTGGTGAAAAATACAAATGAAATAGAATAACCTTCCAAATATATGATTGATCTACATGACAGGATTTGTAACAATTATTGATTGAATCTGATCCGTAATAAGAACAAATTTCTATCCTTGTACTAATGAAAGAAACGATTGAAATTATCTGATGATCATTGAAGTCTACTCATTCGAATCGTCAAGGTAGTATTTTTTTTAATATAAGTACCTTTCATCAGGGTCGAAACAGACTTTTTTTTTCTACTAGAATATACAAGTCAAGCATAAATATGGACTGATTATCATGACCTATTCGTATTTGATTGCATTTTATTTGACACATTCTTTTCCTTTACACATCATCAAATGAACATTTCTTTTTCATATTACTTTTATCATACTGTTTCATTTTTACCAATGTGATAATAATAATAATGATGATAGTGAATAGTTTGCCTTTGCTTTTTTCGCTACATATGCATATGTATGTGGTGCTCAATCGTGCATGACAAATTTTTTGTTCAACATTTTCATATGAAACTCGAAATAGAAAACAAGTCGACACTACTGTCAACCATACTTTCTCCGGTTAAAAGAGAGAGAAAGAAAGCAAAAAAAAATTGAATAAGACACACACAACGTTGAAGCTACTCGACTGTATGCTGACACTTTCATCACATAACCATTAACCCAACGATCGAACATATAGTATATACGCATCAAAATGATTAATGGTAGTGTCCATTTTTGCTCGATGATGTGTATTCTAGCTTCTCAGTAAGAAAAGTGAACACGAAGTGTCTCAATCATCAAAAATAAAAAAGAAAAAAAGACCTATGTTTCAGCAACCATTTTATCCTCATCAACCAGGTTTTCCTAATAACCGTGGTCCAACAAATCATTTTATGCCATCTCGTCCATTTTTTTATCGTCCAAATGGTTCTGTAATAAATCAAAGTACGCATAATTTTAATTTTACACGTGATTTTGAACGTTTTCCAATGCCACATCATGGTTTTACTTCAGTGCCATCAGGTAATTATCCTCCATTTTATGATTTTAATAATCAACAATTTGAACAACAACGATGGAGACAAAATATGGCTCGTCCTTCACAACAACAACAACAACAACAACAACATCGTCGAACACCAGCTTTTCATTTTCAAGATCAATCAACATCCTATTTTATGACTGATCCAATTGTAACAAATGATGATCGTTTAACTGTAATAAAAATTTTTACTTTTATTTATTTAATTATTTATTTGTTTTTTATTTCTTATTTAGATTCAATTAACGAAGGTTCATATTGGACCAAATGGTGATCAACAACGTGTATTTGTCGAACAAGAATTTAGTAACGAAAAAGAATTAAATAAATTTGTTCGAAATTTAAGACATAATTTTGAAAAAACATTTAATAATCGTTCATCGGATCATAATAGTATTAATTCAGATGAAAGTAACTGTACAGATAGTAAAAAATCTGGGTAAGATTCTCAAAATTACATTTTTTTTGTTGTTGAATTATTAATCTCATGTGTAGGAGACTAAAGATACCGCGTCTTCCCCTTCGTGACTCAAAATTTTTTTTTGTGACTATTTTATAATCTAAACTCGTTTTTATCTATTGAGTATATTGTTGGACCTAACTTTTTCAGGAAAAAAAAAGTGCAGAAATACCTGCGTTTCTCCGACTGCTGATTTTTGATAGCTCTTACGAAAAAAATGTGTTTTTTTTTAGAATCCCTTCGATATTTGGTTTTTTTATTCAAAGGGTAAAAAATAAAAAGATACCTATCTCAAACAGTTTTTAGTGCGCTTGTAATAACAATTTCCAGCTCGTAAAGAAATGGAGACGAAAATTGTGACCATTGTGATCTCTGTATCTCATAGCAGACAGCATCCGAGAATTTTGAGTCTATGATAACTTTTATTCTACTGACCAAGATCTACTTGCCCTGAAAATTTCAAATGTTACTAATGAATCGTCTTCCAGAAAGGCGTTATTCTTAAACTATTCTTTGGAAAAGAAAATATAAATTGATATTGATATTTTTAGTGTTATTGTCATTGAAGAACCCGATGAAGAACCTAAAGTTTATCAACAACAAGTATATAATGCAAATATTGAAACAAAAAAAGCTACATCATCTATAATTACACCACCAATGTCACCACCAATGGAATCTGTACCTCCACCAAAACTTGAAGATCATTCTCAACCATCAAAACGTGAACATCGTCGTACAAAACATATGTCACCATCAACTTCTCAAATGTCATCATCATCAACAACACGTTCACGTCGACGTCATAAAAATAAAATGAAATATCGTCGACAACAAATCGATAATCGAGAAGAACCAAAATTATCACATCCATTTCCAATGTCAAGTTTTTCACGTCAATTTCAATCTACACCAATACCATCAAGTTTTCAACAAAGGTTTTATCCTAGAGATAATAGTTTTCGGATGAAAACTCCTTTTACTATACCAACAAATCCAAATCCAAATCCTCAATGGGTATTTAAATATAATTGTTATTTACAAAAAGAAAAAAAACAAATCGTTGTTCTGTTTTCTTCTTTATTTTAAGAGATTCAATCAACATGGAAATCCAAAAACTCGTTCACGTTCATATGTACCACCTATGAATGATCATTTTCCACCTCCACCTCCAACACCATCACGTTTTCATAATCCAATCGATCCATTTTTTCAATCGATCCATTCATCAAAATTTTCTCATCATCGTCATAAAGATTCTCACGTACCATCATCACCTACAAAAGCTCATCGTTCACAACGTCGACAATCATATCATCCAACAACAATAGCAGAAAATCATGTTTATCCACATAATGAACAACAACAACCACGTGTTCAACGTACAAAATCTGAATGTCAAAATTTTCAACAACAGCAACAAAAAAGTCAAAGTACAACAAATTTTCCAAATTTTTCACCATTACAACAACCGCCTATTATTCAAAGACATTTTACACCATTTCGTTCACCACCTGTTATTCCACCATCAGTAAATACGACAGTACCACTTTTTTATCCAAATCAAAGAAGACAATTTGGACATATGCAAACACCATTACATTTAATAAAGACTTTTCGTTTAAGTACAAATCGTTTTTAATGTCTATAATAATTTCGTTTTTCACAGTTTGTTTCAATACATAAAATTCCCATATTTGAATCGCTTAGTGAACAAGGCCATATATATTCATAATGAAATAAACCATTGATATTATTTGGTAAACGACTTGCAATACCAGATATACTTGAATTTTGACGACTCCAATCGAGACCTAGATAAAAACAAGAAAGAATTAAGAAAGAGAAATATATCATAATTACAAGTATTGCTTGATGCTGTGCCATTAGGAAGACTACCATGCCACCAATATTGAAATCTAGAAAACATTGAAACAAAAGATATTCGAAAGATAAATTTGAATGATTTAGGACTCATAGTAAATGAAATTTTCTCGCAGAGACACAACTTAACTAGATTATTTACTAATGAAAAGCTACGACATTAGAATTGATCAAAAGCTTGATCTTGCATATGTACGAGTATGAAATAACATCAGCACTACATTTCACTACGGATAATAGTAAACAAAAATTGGTCTGACAACTATTAATATGAACCTTTTTATCTAATGAGCAAGACTGGCTAAACAATTAAGTAATGTCATGCTCTTCGATCTAAATTATTAACATTTGCTAAAAGGATCATGAAAACTCACTGTGGTTTAAATCCTTGTACATCCAAAATTTCATTTTTTGGTGGTTTTCGTTCAAAAATTTCTTCAAATGTATCAAATAAAATTTGTTCCTTGACAAACAAAAAAACAAAACTTATAAATAAAAGAAAAACAAAGAAGTTTGTCAACAACAAAAACTTACATTCATATTAGTAATCTTTGCATTCATACAAACACCATCAAATAAATTAGCTAACCATTGTGTACTTGATGACATAAATGCTCGATAAAAACCTGTTAAATGATGACGTTCAGAAATACGTTCACATAAATTATCATAATCGGATAATTTCGAACAAAATTTAGTTGGATTATTTGGATTACACATTCTTCGGATTTGAGGACCCAATGCAAATATATGAAGCTAAAAAATTTATATATATATTCATTATTTACCAAGGAAAGTCCTTCAACTGTTCAATTGATTTTGAATCAAGACTATCTACATTATGTAGATCCAAATGAACTATGAATTCGATGAAAAGAATTCGTACCTTTAGCTTATTGCTACGAAGATACTGCACTTTTACGATATTGTTTAAATAAATGTTGTGGTAACAAAAAATTTAATTTTCGAATTTCGACTTCAAACTTGGCCATAGAGGCAGGTCTTAACGAGAATAGATCCAAGTCTTTTGATTTACTTCTATCCTGAAATAAGAACATCAAATCTGTTGGTTTATATGAATTATGTAACAGACACGCTATTACTATAGTTATATCTAGAATAGGAACAATAACAACATCTAAAATATTAACGAAAAAATCTTTTCTCATTAACGTCTGTCTCTATACAAAGTTTCCAGTCAAAATTCAAAAGTCAGTTTGTTTGTTACCATAACATTAGTTTAAAAAGTATAGTATTTCTATAGCAATGACCTAAGGGTACGAACTCCTTTCATGGCATTCATAGCTGATTGAAATCCACATAGTGCATGTAGGCTCAACTTGATTGAATACTTGAAGGACTTTCTTCGTCAGACGAACAATCAAATGAAATACTTACTCTTGTACATGGAAGTGTAATTGTGCATTTCTAGAAAAATTTCAATAATGCTTCATAGTTTTATATCTATACTTAAGGAAAAAAAAAGAATTCCTACCGGTTTCGGAATAGATACTGTTGTTGGTAATATTGGATATTGTAAAGGAATTGCATGCTAGAAAATCAATAACTAAATTAATTAAATTTATTCAAAATTTTATACTTCGATCTCTAATCCTAATGGTACTAATCTTTGATGAACTCGAATAAACACACTTTGTAAACGACCACGTTCATTAACAATATGAACATATGTATGATCCGGATAATCATAATATGCATCCATTGCTGCTTTTAATGTTGGAAATACTCGTATATTTAACTATAAAAATAGATGATTATTTCATTAATTAAACTGAAATGATTCAAACTTGTTTTGATTGTTGACAATTTGATATACAAGATGTACCAACATCACCTTTATCACCTTTGTCTCCTTTCAATTGCATATACTAAAATATAATCATAAACATAAAAGAATACTTGATTTTCTTTTTATTGATACCATATTGTAGTCAATATCAAGTGGATTTAATCTTGTTGATAGTGTGATTGGTGTTGTTGTTGATGGTAGTGCAGGACATGTACAAGAAGTTAGTCGAGCATTTCGATTGGCTGTTTGCTATAGTAAGACTATATGATTATTTTTACATATGAAAAGTTGTTATACTTTTGTATCAATAATTAATTGCCGAATTGATTGAGCAAGATGTTGTAATTGTATGTGAGAGCCAAGACAATCATTTGGATATGTAGTTTCTCTCGAAATACAATCTATATATCAACGTTGTCAAAAATCAACTGGTACATCAATTTATCTTACTTTCTGGACAAATACCCGGATCGCCTTTTTCTCCACGTTCACCCTTAAAATGAAGTATTGTAAATATTGTTTTTTTTTTCTTTTATGTATTTTTACCTTCTCACATCGACATGAAGGTGGATACGTCTAATAGACAAGAAAAAAAAACCAAGAATTTCAATAATGTTTATTTTCTTTTAACTTACATGAGATTTAATTCTAGTCAAAGCATTTGTTGATATTCCCTATAACATACAAACAAAGATAATTGTCAAGTTTGTATAACATCATAGGCTTCGAGCTAAACATATAAGATTAAGCTGTTTGATTACAACATCAAAATATATAAATAAAAGAATCGGAATTTACCAACAACGTATTATATAAACAATTTATTCTTTATTTATTAATAGGATTACATATTACGAAACCATGATAGATTAGAAGATCATGCCTTTTGCTCTATCTTTAATATAAAACTATGATTATGTGTAAGTATGAGGAAAAAAAACTAATGAAAATTATATTCAATATAGAATTAAAATTACCTGACAAAGAATAATTACAATAAATAAATTGAACATGGATAAAACTGAGATAATAAATTAAAATATGATATACGAAATATATGTTTCTATGCAAATATCATAGTAATATTATGTGACTGAGAAAATTATTCTTACTCGTACGGATATATGAACAGAGAAAGAAAAAAATGATTGACTATTATGAAGAACGACAAACTAATGATTCGATTGTTGTACACCAGTTATTCTAATAAAAGAATGACGGCATAATCTTCCATTACTAATGTTTATTTATCATGAGAAAAAGATGTACGTCGACAATCTATAGCATTTGAGAAAATAAATATGTGACAATAGTAGTAAACATAGTACTAGGTTTCTTATAACTATTGTTTTGATGAAAGACAAAGCACATACGGCGAAATCGCAAAAAATTAGCAAAAAAGAAAAAGGGCATTAACAGAAAAAACTCTCTAATTTGTCGAAAACACACATCAGGATGACCCACACATGGTGATGAATGCATAATTTAGACATCAGTAATTAATCTTCGGAAGTTTTTTGATCGATGGAATAGTAATTGTACAAAAAAGAAGCTTACCACGATAAATATAATTAAACTTATATATGAATAAAACGATGAGATATTTCCTCATTTTCAATAAGATCTTTAGAATCATTAATCAATATCAGATGTTTTTATTGATTGACATTTATAATTGACTATTCGAAAAACCTTCTTCTTCTTCTAGAATTCGGCTTATTTATATATAATGAAGAAGTCATGATTATTAGTATCATGAGATAAATTTTCTTGACAAGTTGTATAAACAATTTATTTAAGATTATGAACTATTAAATTGTTTAATGAATTTACTCAAGTAACTATAAAGCAAGAAAAAAAAATGCGTAGAATGTGACATTTTTTTTACTTTAACATAATGAATGGCAAGAAAAAAATTTTATTCTCATAGAAAACATCTAATTATTTCTTTGGTTTTCTTTTCCTTCAAAAATAAAATTGCATGATATTAGTTAAAGGTATTGATTAGGTTTGTTTTTATTTTCATTGTTTGAAGTAGAACAAATAGAAAAATAAAAGAGACACACACACAAACACAAGCACACATGAGTAAAAATTTTGTTTTTTTTTTTTTTGAAAAGATAATGATATATATATTGCACAATAAGCGTAATAGGTTTTTTTTTTATTTATGTGCGACGAATATTTCAACATCATGATTTTGATTTGTTGTATTAGCAGCTGCTTTTCTTCGTTCTTGAATTAATTTTTTTAAATCATCATTTGATGCTTTTGTTGTCGGAATTTTTGATGATTTATTTTGTTGAGGTTGAAGTTGTTTAAGACGATCATCGACTACACGAGGACGATTATTAACTAAGCAATAAAAAAATTAAAAAAAAACAATAATTTTAAATTCAATATATATGTATTTTTTAAAGAAATAAAATACCATCATGTGGATCATATTCTTCAATTGGAGCCCATTGCTTAGCTTTACGTTGATCAAGTTTAGCAAATTTCTCTTTAACTTTATCAATAAGTGGATATGTTATATCCCAAAAACCTTCAAGATCACTGTCAAGTGGTATTGGTTCGTTAGCATTTGATTTTTCCTAAAGAAAATTATTATTACAAAAAATAATAAAAAGAAAACGAATTTAAAGGTTTACATACCACATTTCTTTCACATAAACCACGAAATTGTTTAAGTTTACCTCTTAATAATAAATTAACTTCACCAATAACAGCATTAATATCAGTACGAACTGAAATTAATAATTAGAAATTCTTGTTTGTTTTTTGTTTTGTTTTGTTTCTATATAAATATAAACTCACCATCTTCATTTAATCGATTATCATCTGTTTGAACTAATTTATTATAAGCATCTGCTTTTGATTTAATTATCTTTTCTTCATCATCCAATTTGGACAAAAATGTCCGACCATTCTAAATACGAAATATATTTACATAAGTAAATAAACACTTTGAAAACTTCTTCATAAACAAATATACACACATACACCCTTATTGTGCTCGATTTCGACATCTTGTAAAAGAAAAAAAAGTATGTTTATGAGGAAAAAGAAACAACCCGATTTATTATTGCAACTTTATATATAAACAAATTGATCAATTGAACACGTACTCAACAGGAAAAATACGATTGATATATTTATAAAGAACAGGAAACTTTTTTTTTACTGCTTACCATTCTGTTAGTCGAACAAGGACAAGTTTGCAATAGTAACTAATGAAAAGAAAGATGTAGTGACTGTAGTAATGAAATGAACGCAAGAGAGAGAGCGAGAAAGAAAATATATTGACGACGTGGGTATGTTCGAAATTATTATGTAGACTTGCTTTCTCGAAAGAACTGAATAGGCTTGTTCGATAGTGATGTGCGTGTTTTAACTTAAGAAAAAAAAACGAAGAGAGAAAAAAAGCAATGCTAGAAGATATGAGTCATCATCATCATCACTTTGCATTTTCTATTCTATTATAACATGCTTGACATCATCAAACCAAAACGAACGAATGAAAAATCTTTTATCTTAATAAAACAAGAGAAAAAAAAAAGAATATCTGATGCTGTCCTTCGAGAGAAAGAAAAAGCTATTTTCTCTTGAGAAAACAAAAATGAACTAGATCATAGAGATGCATTCACAGATCTAATACTCATCCTAGATAAAGAAATGATTAAAATTCATATGTTAGATCTTTTTTTTTCTTATCTTGGAATTCTCTGTTTTTGTTTTCCTATCATTCATAACTATAAAGGTCAATCATTTATAATAAAAGATAATCAATAATATCAGACTCATATTTTTTCGCTTACAATTATTTTTATTAGTAAATGATGAACTCAAATAAAAAACAAAAGCGAAGTCATTTAAGCGTGATCAAGTTCGTGTTGATTAGTTTAAGAAGAATATTAAAATAAAAAACAAAAGAAGCACACGAAAACAAAGAAAGAATACACACAAACATAATAATCTGGCAAAAGCAAAGAAGATACAAAATGCTGATATATTAACATTTACCATCAGGCAAAGAAAGAAGAAATCAATAGAATAAAAAAAACATTAGTCCACCATCATAGATAAACACGTGCATACATATGATGTTGATCGAAGTGTGAATATTTTGATTATAATCATGTTAGTCATTTGTTGAGCTTACCTTGGATTCTTCAAATAATAAATCATCAGTTTTTTGTACTAAATCATCAATAACTGACAAGATATTATTTTCTTCATTAATAAAATTATTATCATTATTTATTTCTTGTTGGTTTTCATTAGTAATCATTGATATATCTTCTATATTAAAAGATTCATTAGTATGATTAACTAATTCAACATTTGGTAATTCTATACTATCATCTTTTTGTTCTAAATATTAAAATCATTTTCAATTATATTCTGAGGATTATTTCTTACCGGTTGTTTGATCATCATTCTAAAAGCCAAAAAAAACATTCTTAGATTTTATATAAAAACAAATCGTTGTTGTGTTTTTTTTTTACCGTAAATAATGTTGAATTATTAAGTGATAGAAGTGCTTGTTCAGTCATTTGAATAAGATTCAAATGAGATTCCTCTGTTTCTTTTGATATATCATACAATGGTGGTGTTAATTCATTTTTATCATCTTTATTAACAACACCAAGTGCTCGATTAACTGCACGTAAAAAATTTCGTTCAAATTCTTCATCGTTTTCTTCATTAGAATGTTCATTTGAAATTGTTTTATTCTTATCAGATTGATTTGAAGATGTTGAAACAAATGTTTTAACATTAATTGGAATAGTTGGTGTTACATGAATATTTGATACATGATGTAATATATTTTTTTCTGAATCAATTAAATCACTGTCTTCAAGAATGATAAGTTCATTGTCATCGGGTAATATCCTTGTAACATCTTCATTATTTTCTCTTTGAACTAAATGATGTATTAAGTGACAAGATTATGTAAGAGATTTATTAGGTGTTTTATTTGAATAATTCATGGACGAATAGATCTAGACTTCGACATGATCAACGTAAAATAAAGAATTTTATATGTGATTAATATTAGAAAAGATTTTTAATGAAGCGAATTACGTCTCTTAATTATACTAACTTATAAAAATTAATTAATTGGAAATAAAAAAAAAATCCTATTACATAGGATCAAGTTTAGTTTTAGTTTATAAAAGAAAAATTATTTAAGACTAACAAAAACAAAAAGAGTCGTTGATTAATTCAGCATATTGTCAGCAGGAAATTAAAACTAATTTTCACCATAAGAAAATTACTCAATCGGCACTTCTTGCTCTCTCCTTGGGCATACAGAAACAATCCTCATTTTTTACATCTCAGTGCGTCCTTGTCATCGAATGATGTAATTCAAACGAGTTTAACACATGTACTGCAAAAGACAGTATAAAATGCTATTCCTCGAACTATCAATACATAATTCCCAAATGATAAATATTACCTAACGAATCATCATTAACAATATTAGTCTTTTCCAATGTTACTGATACTTGATTTTCTAAAAAAAATATAAATATAAAAAGAAACAAATTACATATGTATATATATATATATATATTTCTTTTAAATATACCATTTGTATTGATATGTCTAAAATTATCAATACTTTTACTAATTGGTTTTGTTCTCATACTAGAAAATATTCTATTATTATTATTTGTAAAATTCCAATCATATTTTCTTTTTCCAACATCATAATAATGATTATATTTAAATAAATCATTTTGACCAAATAATCTTTCATAATTAGCAAATGATTTTGTTAATGTATAACCACTTAACATACAATTTAATTTCATATTTGATTGTTTACGTGCTTGAAGTAATGGATCATCTAATGGTAATGGTAACGTTGTATATTGAAAATTATTTAAAAAATCATTATTTAATAATGAATTATTTTCATTATTATTTGATATATTTTGTTTTTTTATATCATTATCATGAAAATATTTCGCACGAATTTCATCATAACATGCATTTATATGATCAATTTTGTCTTGATTATGTATTGATGTTGAAGATTGTTTTGTTTCATTATTATTTGAATCATTTATAATTGATTTTGACGGTGATTGTTCTAAAAGAAAATTAAATATTTTGATAAGAATTTTTTAAAAGAAATAATTACTTTGTCTTTCATTAGATATTGCTCTTTGATGTCGTGTTAATTGTGAAAGACGATTAGTAAAACGTTTTATTGGTGATGGATCACGTTTTCTTGATTTTCTTGCTGTTATTTGTTCATTATTTGATTGTTTCATTTCTATTTGTTCATTTGTTGTATGTCCATTGATTTCTATTACGGTTTGTTTTGTACTTTCACGTGATTTTGAACGGAAACGACGAAGTACAGATGGAGAATTTAATTTTGAACGTAATACATCCATTAATGAACGAGACTTTTTTAATGGATGATCAGAATTTTCATTAAGTGGTATTGATCTATCATTTGTTCGACTTATTGTTGATGATTGACGTAATAAAGATGTTGAATGACGATGATCATTATTATTATTATTATTATTCTTTTTATTTTTTGAAGTATTTTCAATTGAATCCGAATCCTTTGTTGGAATCATTGTTGTTGATGATGATGTTGTACTACGTCCACCAATTGTTGCCCATTTTCTTGGCCAACGACTATTTGTTGTTGTACGTAATGAAAGTTGATTAGTTTTAGCCGTATCTGGCATCTAAAAAATAAAAATTGTTTTCAAAAAAAATATTGCAAATAAGATATTTGAGACTAGAAATTTGATCTTCATGTTGAGTATTAAAAGAGTCGTCTTAAGAATAATGTTCTTTTTTTTTTCTTCTTTTATGATTGGCATATATTTGTATAAAAACGATCATATTTATCATCATTTGAAAACTTACTAGATATTAATGTCGATATTGTTATTTAGAAAATAAAATTCATAGAAATAAAAGAATATAGTTTAATTTAAAGACAATTAACGAGAAAAATATATAACAAAATGAGAATGAGATTGAGGCTGCTGTTTATTACAGAATGAAGGCAAGATGTATATATAGGAGTCAATACGATTACGCATAACAGAAAAGAAAGAAGTGAACTTCTGCTGTATAACATCCAAATGGGCAATCATTGAGTCCGTTCATACGATAAGACAATGCTTATAGCGATCGCCTGTCTATGTTAATGCTTCACCTACACATACTTCCAGATGTAGACAAAAAAAAAAGAAAGAATGTATGAGTAGCGTAAGCGACATACTTACTTACATCACCTATATGCGAAGAAGAAAAAAACCTACCAACTAAAGTTCACAAAATTGAATTGATGAATACAAAAAAAGACGAGAAGAAAAAAGAAACAGAACGATAAGAAATAACGACATAATCGCTATGTATTCTTGCCAGTTTTGATGATGACATTGACCTCCCTCTCTCTCTCTCTCTCTCAATCGCACTGGACATAATCAAGCTCACTTTAAGTGTAGTAAAGAAATATAAAATTGAATATCATAACTGTGCGACTACTTACAATCGGTCACTATGTCTATATATGAATGATATAGAACAACGACAATAAGCAAATGCATACATTTTCTTGTTCGTCTTCTCCTCCTTTTTTTTCTTCTTGCCGTCTCAATCACAAAAGCTGTAGCTTCCGTATATTCACACAAAATAGAAGATGGTGATATCCACCATCTCATATTCCACCTACTCATTTCTTTATGTGCTATATCCGTCTATCTAACACATAAGAAAAAAAAATACATATAAAGAACAGAAAAAAAAAGAAGTTGTTTTGCTTTGTTCGTCGTCGTTTTTTTTTTGTTTTATGAACTAATGCAAAACAGATTCCATTAAATAGATCGATCGCCACTATGATGATCATCAGCAATAGGTTTACTACTGAGATGACCTTTAGCTAGTTCTTTCACTCATCATCTTTATATTCTTAGATAGTAAAAAGAATAATATCATTGATGATGTAATATCAAGCTGAAGTATATATAAAAGAACAACAATAGAATTAGTTACTTCAACGTAGTCATTTGTTGTTAAATATATATTAGCATCTATACCCATATGTATACCATTAACCTTGACAATGAGAACTTGCAATGCACATTTTCTATTGTCTACATAAGATTTTTATGCCAAATATTTGTGTGTATCTACTTGTCCACATAAGAAGAATCGACAAGGGCAATACGATGTTGTCTTTTTTTTTTTTATAGCATAGTAGAATAAATAAGACAAATATTGCTTTTATATATATATATATACATCTAGTATCGTCAATTGCTTGTTCCGTTCTTCTGATATAATGATTATTGCGCCTTCGAATGTTTTCGTTGGACGAGGAGAAAAAAGAAATCAGTTAATAGGTTAAGATAGTTAGAAGGTTGAGCGCATGTACATATATATACATCTATAAAAATATCTTTGTACTTTTGTACTACAGATAGATATATTTAGTACAGCTTTGTTATACTATGTGTACAGCACACCATAATTGTACTCAGCGCATATATCAAATAAAAAAAGAGCAAGAAAGAATGAAGCATTAGAGAATGTGAACATCTTTCTTTTTTTCTCCTGTCTGGACAATGATTAATTAGTCAAGCTTTTTTTAATTAAATAGATCGATCTTAAATATTCACACATGTGCATGACATAGAAAATGAATAAATTTAATTGAGCATAAAATATTAATAAGAATCAATGATTATAAAGAAAAATCTTCTTTATTTTTTGTTTTTCAATTTAATACATATACATACGCACATTTTTTTTTTACACAATATAAATGACATCAAAATATAGTAATAAATAAAATAAAAAACAAAAAAATTATTTATTTTTATTTTCATCCGTATTTATATATTGATCTTCTCCAGCAAGATGAACAAATATTTGTTCGAGTGTTGTTTGTGTTATTGAATAACTTTCAATAGATTTTTCTTCTTTTTTCTTATTAAATAAATCAAATACATGTGCTAATTTTAATGAATATGTATTTGTAAAATTTGATGAACGACTAATTGAAGAAAATGGTACAGTACAAAATAAAATTCCATTATGTTGTTCTACGAAATTAATATAAAAATTTTGATAAAAAAGAAAAAAACTCTAAAATCACTATAATCTTACCATCAATTTGAACACCTGGTAGAGTTAACATTAATTCTTCTTTAAACATATTTATATCTTGAAGTGGTAATTTTACTTGTACAGCATAACCATGTCCAAAACGATTTTTTAATCGTTGTAAATTTCCAAGACACATAAATTGTCCTAATTTCATTATACCTATTTCTAAATTACAATAATAAATAAATAAATAAATAAATAAAAAAGTTTTATTTTTTTAATATCATTCTATCGATACTTACTTGTACATAATGCTTCACATTCTTCCATACTATACGAATCAAAACAAAAATTTTGAAAATTTGAAAACTATATTTCTTTTTTTTTTTACCTATGACTTGTTAAAATAATAGTAAGACCAGCATCTCGAGCTGCACGAATAACACCCCATAATTTTCGTTTAGCAGCTGCATCTAAACCCTAATAACAAAAAAAAACACAAATCTTCAATGATATTTTCATATGTTTTGATGTCTTACAGTTGTTGGTTCATCCAAGAATACTAATGCGGGATTAGCCATAAATGCTAATGCTGCACTTACTTTTCGTTTATTTCCACCACTAAAGTTAATTGAGAAAGAAGAATAATGTGATTTATTTATAGTGTGAGAGAGATTTACCTTAAATTTTGTATTTTTTTCGTTTGATAGATTTCAAGACCAAATACTTCAATCATATCACAACATATTTGAGATGTTTCTGACCATTTTAAACCTTTTAATCTATACGAAAAAAAAAGAGTGAGAGAAAAAAAAGCATCAAAGATTAATTTACCTAGCAAATAAAAGTAATGTTTCAATTACAGTAAGATTATTTATCAACCAATCAAATTGTGGACAAAAACCAATTTCAAGATCTCGTTGCTAAACAACAAAATTAATTTATTCTTATTTATTAATAATAAATATTCACCATCTTATTTATATCTTTTCCATTGATAATTATTTTACCCGATGTAGGTTTCAAATCATTGATTAACATACGAAATGTTGTTGTTTTACCAGCACCATTTACTCCTAAAATATATACATGAAAAAAAACCGTAAATAAGAATTAACAATAGAAGGTCTTGTACTACCAGTTAAGGAGATAGACTGATTTCAAGATATGTACACCGTATGTCATGTGGTCACACTTCAAAGTTTCAGCAACATTTATTTTTCTTTTTTCGTCATGGTATTACATAAAAAAAATAACAATATCTCATATATTCAACAATAATAGCATCTTGGACTTTTTGTTTTTTGTAAAATTAGTTTTGAATGTACATGATATTATTTATTTTTTCTTATGCAACTCGCTAAGTACTATCCATCTATGATGGAAAAAGGAAAATAGATACGGCTAAAATGAAGTGTAAACACATGACATAAACTGTAATTAGCTTGAAACTCGGATATGTCGATCTATGTCACAGCTGTCAATAAGTCACCTGTTTCCAATCTAGCCTGAAGGCCAGGCTAAATGTCAAGAGTGGCCTACTATGCAAACTAAGCCGACTTATGTTTCTATTTGTTTATAAATCCGCTAAGGTCTATTATCTTATTATAATTCATGATTCTATTATCAGTTATAATATACTTAATTTGTCTTTATGAAAATTGTATAATGACAAGTTCTTGGACAAAATAGTGAATTAAAACAAAGAGATAAATCATCAAAAATATTTTTCATACAAGAAATATTAGATGTGTTGAAATGTTTTTAAATATATTAGCATTCTTTTACATAATCAGAAAAAATGTAATTATGATAGAAAAAACAATATATGATTAGGTATAAAATGACGAGGTAAAAGGGTGTGAGTAACTATATGTGAAGAGATGATCCACAATTCATAATTTCACGAAATCATGAGCTTCTAATGCTATCTTATATTTCAAGTTGTACTAAGGAAGCTATTTTAATATCACACACAAGCCAACAGATCTGTTAGTCAGATCCAATATTATTTCGGACGAATCAGGCCAGACTGACAGCTGTGGTCTGTGTACACTATTGACAGCTCACATTATATGATTGATGAACGATGAACACGAGAACATTCAACACACACACACACACACACACACACAAGGATGAAGGTAAGAGAAATGAGTAATGAATGAAAATGAAGAGAAGATTAGGCATGCATCCAAACTGCTTGGATCATTTTTATCTAAATGAAAAAAAATGTTCTTATCTACTGAATCAAGTGACACAACATTTTTCCTTCAATATAAAATTGAAGTAGAGGAATGATGCTAGAAAATTTCAAAAGAAAGATTTCGACAATGTTGTTAGACTACGTGCTGAAATCAATAAAAAAACCCAAATGCAATAAGTTTAGGTCTTTTTCCTTTCAATCTCTTATTAAACCAAACAGTTCATTGAATCATTCTCCGTTTGATTGTTAAAGATAGACCTCCTTCCATACAGTTAATTGCCTTCTATTGTAAGATGATAAAATAATTATATACCTAATAAACCAAAACAAGATCGTTTTGTAACATAAAAATTCAGATGATCAACAGCTGTATAAATTCTACGATGAATTGATTTTTCTTTTCTTTTTTTAAAACGTTTTACAATATCACGAACAAGAATAACAGATGATGTTGATAAATGATTTTCTCCGAATAATAATCGACGTTCATTTCGTACATCTTCATCAAGATGCTAACATAAAAAAAGAATCAAATAATTCTAATTATTTTATTAAACAAAAAAAAACTTTTATTTAATATTACCGTATCATCCCATTGTTTTGGTATTGCATCTTCAGCATTATCCATTGGATTTTCATTATCTATTCGTTCTAAATCATTTTCACAACCACAACATCGTCGACATTCAGATTTAATATTAGTTCTTTTTTCAATTAAAATTAAAATAATCCACCAAAAAATCATTTGAATAATAAAAATAATAAATTGAATACCAACACCTGGTTCATGAGTTGATATCCATGATTCATTAAATGAATAATTTGTTAACATAAGTGAATTGAGTGATGAAATACATTCTTGACTTGATTTTAAACGTATATTAAATAATGAACGTTTGAAATTAACACAAGGAAAAAGAATTGCAATAAACCAACGAATATTATTCACAATAGAAGTTAATCTTGAAACACGAGTTATAGTTGTTGCTTGACCTTGTGAAAATACTGCCATAAAAGTTAGTACCATATCAAAAAAACAAACAACGATATTTATAACAAATATATTAATAAAACCAATCAATTCAGATTTTGGACTAAATGAATAAACATATATTAATGGTAATGAAGCCAATGAATACATAATTATCATTAAAAAAAAATATCCTATTTGTTCTGTATTTATATAAATATGAACTTCAGATTCTATATTTGGATTACCAATAGAACCGATCTATTACAGAAAAAAAAAATAATACATTTTTGTTGAAAATAAAATTCTTTTTTTTTATTACCCGAATAATAATTGTTAATAGAATACAAAGTATAAAACATGATAATAAATCAAAAATTGTATTTGAAAACCAATAAGTTCTTTTTGTTAAATTTGTTAATAATTGTAAATCTTTCGAATGATTAATACGTTCTTGTATTAATGGTACAATAAGAATACTAATAAATAAAGCTGCAAGAATACTATTTAAAAAATTAAATAATGATAATGGTAATGTATCAAAACAATACATAATTTCAAAAAATCGTTGTAAAATTGTAGATGATGTTGTTGCTGTTGCTGTTAATATTGGTTGATTTATTGTTAGAATTTTTTTTGTTGATGAATTAGTGTAATATTGAAAAAGATTGGTTGAACTAACACTAAGACTTGTTGCCATAGCATGATAATTTACTGTTGAAAAATAACTTTTAAATATTAAAGAAGATATCGAAGATGTTAAATTATCATATACAGCAAAAGCCATTTGATATTTATTAACAAAAAAATCTTCATTTGTTAAACATCTATCATATACATAATTAAGTACAGTATCTGTAGAAATTTCATCAATATTGGCATTTGTATTTTGAATATAATCAATTAAATGTATTCGAGTATTCGATCTATTATTATTTGTATAAATAACAATACTATGTGGATTATAGATTGATGGTAATAATGTAATTTGTGCATCTTTAATACGATTATTTTGTACGAGTGATGTTTGAACATCTTTCGGTGTTGGAAAAATACTAACAATTAAAATTTCAATAAGAATAGGAAATAGAAAAAATCCAAATAAAAAAATATATTGTCGTTGTAAAACATGCCAACGTTTTATAATTAATGCACAAATTCGAAACCAAAATCGACGTACACCTATTTCACGGTTATATTCAGTACGAAAAACTATAAAAAGTAAAATAAATATATGATTAACAAAGATTTGGTTTTTTTTTGTACTTTTATTTGCTAAGTCTTGTCGTAATTTAGTTTGATCGTGTTGGGTAGTGTTTTCTGTTTCGGCTTCTTGAATTAATCTAATTTAACGAAAGAAAAAAAGTATATTAAGATCATCGAAATGCAAAAATCGAGTGGAATTTTTTCGGCATTTTGACGTTTCGTCGCTACTTTTCATTCCGAACATCCGTTTTCTTCAAAATATCATTACTTTTATGATAACAATATCGGATGTTCGGAATTAGAAAAATACGGATATTCGGAACGCTCATCGAAAAATAAACGGATGTTCGTAAGACTTTACACGGAAGCTCGAAATAGAAAAAAAGGAATGTTCAGAATGGAGATCTGCTTCTTTTATTAGTGCAGCACTTTAGTTTCAGTTAACCGATGTTCGAAATGCTCTTCCTTTCACAACACTGTATACAGTATGTTAGACATGTAGTTATAGATGTGAAAGTGTGTACTGAATTACAAATTTCTATTCATTTTTACATCACAATAACTCATATTATTGTTTTTTTCGAGTTTCCACTTTCGAGATTATGAGATCTATTCTTCTTTCTTTTCAGCTCTATATCTAACTCTGTTTGAACACTTTATTTTGTTTCAAACATCCCTATGTTTGCATTCGAACATTATGTAGTTTCTGTTACAAACATCTACCTTTTGTAACCCTGTCATGCGATATAATTCATTCTGAACATCCGTTAGATTTTTTTCCGAACACCCGTTGACGGACTAAATGTCATTTCCGAACATTCAGTATTAAAGATTGATGTTCGGAATGACAGCGACGAAACGTCTGGAGGCCGTTTATTCTCGTTCATTTATATATGGTATGATAGACATTGACGAGTTACTCACGAAATTTCGTACGAATAAGAATGTAATACTTGTAATCAGCGTTAAAAACTGCATCAAATCATATATGTATTAAGAAATTTTGTTTTCTACGAAAAACCGACTTTTACCTACAAGAATATTGAATAAAGATTCTGATATCATTTAAGTACAACGAATGGTGCTAGCTTATGTCATTTGTTACGTGCTTTTAAAAACTTCATTTTAATATGTTTTTGCTTTCTGGATTTGAATGAAAAAAATCCATGTCTAAACTAATTTACCGTTTTTCTCAGAACAATAGTTTTCAATTAGAAAAATTGAAATACCTCTCATCTGATTCAAGATATAACCAATATTTTTTTTTGAAGGTCTAAATAAGAATAAACTGTTTCCTGGCCAGATTTTTCTCTAATTGATTTCTGTGTTGAGAAAAGTGAGATTTCGTGTTGTGAAGTGACATTTTATTTTTTGTGCTTATATTAATTCAAGATAAAAACCATATATTTGTGACTAGTTCATCAAACTCTATTAGACTATATATAAATGAACAAGAAAAAAATTCACTCAATATTTTGTATTGCCGTGATAATTAGTTCTATTTCATAGAAAAATCTTACTTTAAAAAGACTTCTTCAATTGTTGTCATTGATAATCCGTAACTTTCAATACCAATATCTTTACTTTGTTCATCTAAGGCATGAATTAATTGTCCAATATGTTTTGATTCACTTCTTTTTATACCAAAAATCATTTCAGATATTGATTCTCGTTCTAATATTATTGTTGGAATATATTTTTGAATAAATGCAGTTATACGTTCATTTTGATATGTTTCATTTTTTTCAATAAATAAACGATATTCAAAATCTGACAATGTTTATAAAATAAATAGAAGTTAAAAGATGAACAAAATAAAAAAAAAAGAATTATTTTTTGAAGCAAAATACCTATTTGATTTTTAAGAAAATTAGGTGTTCCATTTGCTTGAAGCTGTCCACTTGTCATAATAGCAATTCGATCTGATAGAACATCAGCTTCTTGAAGAAAATGAGTTGTTAAAATAATACATTTGCCAGCTTCTTTCATTTTTCGAATTATTGTCCAAATTAAACGACGATTATATGGATCTTTACAAAAGAAAAAAAAATACTTGATTTTTACAAAAAAAAAACAGAAAAAACGAAATCTTATTTCAATAATTACCAATGCCACTTGTTGGTTCATCAAGAATCAAAATCTGAAATAATCAATTTTTTCATTGAACAATAAAAAATACAAGAGAAGAAAACAAAGATTAAAATACTTTTGGATCACCCATTAATGATATACCAATGGATAAACGACGTTTCATACCACCTGAAAGTTTCTTCGATAATGTCTTTCGATCATTGACTAATCCAATGAGCTTAAGAATGGTTTCAATTGATTCATTCATGAATTTTGGTTCCATATGACGTATCTAATGATCAATTACAACAGTGAACTCGCAAAAGTCTTTACATGAAATCTTTTTTACAGATAGTGATCGATCTTTTTTTTCTTCAAAAACAAATAAACTTGTTTGAAGTTTTAAAATACATTATTTGATTAAAACAAAAAAATGTCGTAAAATTTTCATATGAATATTATATTTTCAAATTCATAGCGATTAATTTTAATTCAAGTATTACAAATTATAATCTTTTAAAATATGGTTGAAAGAGATTACTAAAAATTTAATGAGCGAACAACAGAGATGGGCAGCTCCGACTTCGAAGCGGCCGCTTCACGAAGCTAGCTCCGTTCCGGAAGCGGAGCTGGAGCGGAACGTTAATATAAATTTTCCCGTTGCAGCGGAGTCTGAGTGGATGTCTGAAGCTGGAGCTGAGCTGGAACGAGAAAATGTCAGACAAATATTAAGAGCTATGCTTGTTTCTCTTCCATTTGCATCTATTACTACTGAAACTGAATGTTATTAATCAATACAAAAAGTGATCTGCAAAGGAGCCAAAAAAACCAAAGTTTTCTATTGAAATAATGACTTTTTATTTCTGTTGGAACGGAGCTGGAGCTGGAGCGAGGAAAGACCAGAGCTGCCCATCTCTGGTGAACAACAGAAACTAAGATAATAAAAACGCAAATCTTATTTTCAAATGTTCATTTGCATTGAATTCAAATCATTCAGGCATAAGATTCAATTTTTTCCACATGTTTTACTCTTTTGAACTCACAATTTGTTTTTCATCCTTATTCATAATTACATTAAGAAATAATGACAACTTCGATATTTAACACCTGATAAAATTTTTCTTTATAGTTTTAATGCACTAAACATCCTTTTTATTTTTAAAATACCTTTCCGATTAATTCTAAATGTTCTTCGACAGATAAATCATTATAAAGAATATCTAAAATAAACATAAAAACAATTCATATTTTTCTCAAATGATTCTGTTGATTTTTTTTTAATTACCACATTGTGGACAGAATCCAATAATTTTTCGAACTTCTTGGATATGTGTTCGATTATTTAATCCTTCAATAGTTACATGACCTGATGTTGGTTCTAACATACCTAAAATAGATACACATCAAAAAATAACATCAACATTTTATTCAATAAAACGAACCAACAAGTATAAATGTTGTTGTTGTTTTTCCTGCACCATTATGACCTAATAATGAACATACTTCACCTTTATAAAAGTTCAATGATAAATCTGAAACTGCTTGAAATTTTCCAAAATTCTATATGAATAAAATTTATTTAAAATGCTAAATATAAACATTTAATTATTTTACTTTTGTTAAATGTGATATTGTTAATGATGGACTAATTGTATTTTTTATTGAATTTAATTCAATCCAACACTCACTACCATAAATTCCATCTTTTTTATGTGTTAATCTATCATTATTATCAAATGGTTGCACAGTTGGTGTTGAATGAGGTTTCCAATAAGATTTTTTAAAAAGATAATTCCATGATTGTGAAACTCCAAATTCACCCGGATTTATACGTTCAATATAAATTGCTAAGAAAAAATAAATTACCGAATAGATAAGCATTAAAAGAAGACATAGACCAATGTATAATGGATATGTAAATAGGTTCGAATAAAGTTGTTCAAATGTCGTCATACCATCTAAATAATTTAAGATTTTTTGATTTTCAACGAAAAAAAAGCTGTTGACGCAATCCTGAGCGGAATTGAAATGTGAAACACAATGTAGTTGCGCTGGATAATGTTTTATTCTATCTATTTTGAAACACATTTCTTCATCATCTTTTTACTTAATCTTTCAGAAATGCTATAAGGAAGTAGTTCATATATTATAACGAGACGTTATTGATATACGATTCGTGATCGTATTTCAAAAATGTCTGAGACGGAGAGCAAGAACGTTGCTAAAATGTCTGGCAACATGATGTTCCGAAACTTCAAAAATAGAACTTTCGTCAATTGGACTATGAATTAGATACGAACTAAAAAAACTTCTTATCAACTATGTTGATAGGTTATGTTCATCGATGTCGTAGCCATAAGTATTATATGTCATTTCAGATAATAATTGTTCGACTAACTCTTTGAGATAGGGTTTTTCTTTTAAAAAGATGTAAAAATTGTAATTTCTTTATCATAAAGTCTTGAAATGGGGCTTTTATATCAAGAAAAACAGCAAATTTCGTGAACAATCATCAAGTTTTATAAGATTCATGGATTGCCAAGTCAAGTAGAGTGGTTCTGTATATTATAGAATTCTTTGGCTCGTTCCATGGAGAACTTTAGAATCCTATATAATAATATAGATCTCATAAAATCTAACATCATCTGTAACATTAGAGCTTTTAGTAAAAGCCGCAGCATCATCGAACAATAATGGTTCTGGAATTCTATGGTCTTGTTTCTCCTTGACATGCATACACAATGGTACTGCATGGTGATGCTGCGTAATACTAGCCACATAAGAAAATGATAGAATATTGTTATCGTCTAGTGAAGACAGATGATCGTAGAAGTTAGAATCTGTGCAAAAGTTCAAAATGTATATAAACGTTTTTCATCGTCAAAGCATCATCTTAGATTGATGAAGGTACAACATCGCCAGTGAATCTAACAAATCAGACTCATCGCTTGATGAACACATCTGATGAAAGTCTACTATATTTTCACCAACACCCCTCTCCACTTTCATCACTAGCAAATGTCCTATTGGCAAAATTCCGGCTATCCTTCTGGCGTTTGTCATGATATGTGGAAGCAAGGATGAATTTTAATTTTTGTCCTTATAGTTCAACATTCCTTTTTGGATTGTGTTTGACAAAATAAAACACAAGTAGAACTCACTGCTTTTTCGTTCATATTGTAAAATAACTTGTAAGCAAAACATAAGACCAGTATTTGGAAATAAACATAAAAAATATCGAACACCAACTGGTACACCAGGATAAAAATCAATTAATGTTAATATCCATACAACAAAACTTATTAATTTTGCTAGAAATGCTATAATTAAAAAAAAGTCAATAGAATCAAATAAGAAAATCTATATTTGAAACTTACGACGTTTAAATAATTGTCCAAAAAAAACACTAAAACTTGAAACTTGTATCGAATAAACAAATAAAATTGTCCAAATCAATGTCCAATGTGTATAATTAAATATAGCCTTACGAACACTATTTCTTCGTGAACCACTTGTTGGTAAAATAATTATACTTAATCCTGTCACAACAGATGTAAGAATAAAAAATATTAACATTGATCGTGTAATCCAAACTAAATTATTGATCCAAGTACGAAGACCATAAATACGTAAATATTCCTATTACGATAAATATACTTTTTCTCAATATGAACAAGATGATGTTTTTCTTTTGACTGGGACAAAAAAAAAATGGCTGATCCTATTTATGAATATTACACTTCCTTACTTTCGTTTTATTTTGTCTTTCTTCAACAATATAACCAACATTCATAATAAAAGTAATAAGAAAAATAATCGAGAAAAATATTGGAATAAAAAATCCAAAAACTGAATGTAATTGATCAAGATAATATTCTGGACAACCAAAATGATTCATCAAAATCTATTTTTAATTAATAAATTTTATAATTTTTAGAAAAAAAAAATGCTACATGATCTTACACTAAATGATAAATTTTGAGAAGTATTTGTAACATATTGAATAATTGATAAATCCATAAAGTATTGAATACCCACAAATCGATAAGTATAATAGTCAGAACTTGATTTATCTTAAAATAAATAAAAGTACTCGAAATATTTAATTATTTTCCTTTTTTGTTTTTATTAACTACCTTGACAAAAATCTTCAAGAGAACGTTTCCATAGATAATCATTTTCTGAAATTTTCACACTTTGAGCATGATAATAATATGGACCATTTCTATGAATAAATAAATAAATAAATAGTTAAAATAAACAATTAATATAACGAAATTTAATCATATACTCTTGCATGCGTAAAGTATAATTAACTTCATTTGGCATTGTTGATGGATCAGTACATGAATCAAGATTATTAAATTGAATATAAGCAACTATTGATTGTAAAGTTTTATTTGACAATGTTGAAAGCGTAGGATCAGGTACGACTTGAGCTATAAGTAAATATTTTTTTTTTCTTCAATATATTTTATTAGATTTAATGAATAAAACGTACTATTATTAGGAAAATTAGACCATCGGATTCTTAGATTATTCATAGCATTAGTAACAATAGTTGTTGCACAAAGGTTTCCTATTAGAAATAATTAAATTTTGATAAAATCATTAATAATTCAACAAACCTGGATAATAATAGATGATATCACCAATGCCAGTAATCGATAACATATCTTGTGGATAGAAAGGAGGTATTTGATAAGCAGGATAATAACGACGATCAAGAATATAACGCATGCCAAGTAGAAAACCCATAAATGTATAAGCTAATAAAATTTCGACAATTGTTTGACCAGGCTTTCGTATAGTTAAAAGAAATGTTTTGATAAAAAGTGCTCGAAAATCATTAAGAAACTTAATGAAACCACCATGTCGACGATGGTTTTCATGATATTCCATCATAATGCTTTTCTTTTACTGTTTATAATATCTATCAACCATTAAAAAACAAAATTAAAAACATTCCAACTACTTTTCATTATGTCTCATAAGTCAGGAAATATTTTACATGAAAAACAACATTCCTTAGTTAACTACATAATGCTCCTTTTCTTTTTTCTTCATTAAAGCGCTTAAACATGCAAAACCAATTCTAATGCTACAAAATATCAAACAAATTAGGGAAAAACAAGCTTAAACTTTCCATTTTCAGTTCATTTTTTTAAAATTCTATTCATTCATTATTATATATGAGACTTTATTTTTATCTTTTAGCTATAAAATTATTCAAATGAAACAATTAAAATATTTTTTCTATGAATAGATTTTACTAATATTTTTTTTCACTTTTTATAAAAACGAGATAGCAAGTTTATGTCAGATGCAGACTCGTGATACATCACAAGATTCTTCATTGAAATCAAAAGAATACCATCTGCTTCGAATTTATCTTGTATCAAATTTAATTAGAAAAACAATATGAAGAATAATATCTGATAATATTAATGGTTTGGAAAAAAAATGAAACAGAAATTCAACCAATGATATGATGAATGGAATCGAATGACATATAATTATCATCATGACGATATTATTTTATGAAATGTCAGATAGTGAATATGAATGAAAGGCCAACTATGTTTTATTGATAAAAAGATTTATAAAATTCATATAATTTTTTAAACATCAGATTTCTAAATATTTGGGAGCAAGTAAAAAATGAAAAAATTTCAATAAACAGAATCAAAAAGTAAACCTTACTGATAACTAATAAGAGAAATGAAGACCGATATTTATTTTTATATTAGTATAAAATTAAAAATATGGTATGTTGTGTTCTTTATTTATTATTATAAAATGTTAGCTTTTAAATACGACATAATAATTAGGAAGTTGTGCTCATTGCACTCACTTTTTCTTTCCATACCGAATCTTTTCAAAAATGAATAGACTTACTTTGTTTGAAAAAAACCTACACTGAGTATGACAAACATAAAGTCATGATATATTGAACATAATCCGTCTTGCTATTTATTATGTCGTTCATGGTTGGCAAGCAGTACTGTCATGAAGAGAAAAAATAAGTACGCAGAAGCGCGCATAAGAAGAGAAAAGCAAAGTAACGCGTTTGAATACTTCATTTACTTCTTTATTATTATGGATTAAAAGAAAAAATGACACTCGCAGATTGATGAGAGAAAAAAAATCTTTTCTTGCTGCTCTGTGTGACATATTCTGATGAAATACCGTTAATTTTTCTTTTCTTCTACAAATTAATTTGAAAGTAATTTTAGTAACATTTTTATTTTTATCTCATAAGATGAAATACAACAAATAAAAAGAAAAAAAAATATTGTTTATCTTTTGTTAATTTTTATTCTTTGATAATATTTGGTATATTACCATAATGTTCAGTATGACCATTAGCTGGTGTTAATGTAAATCCATCATTTGTTTTATTATTATTGTTATTATTATCCATAGAATTATTTTCTAAAATTTCTTCAATGCGTGAATCTAAACTTCCTTGACGACTAATTGACAGTGACGAAGGTGTTGAGGAAGTTAAACATCTATGATCTTGTTTATTATTTATCATCCAACAATCAATACTCATTTGTTTACTAATTGTTGGATGTGTAGAATCATTTTTTGTTCGTCGTCGTCTTGATATAGGTAAAAGAGAGTTTTTTAATGCACGTTGACTTAATTCATGTGTCATTTCATATATATGACTTGTATCAGATGGTAGTATAGCAGCAAAACTTCCATTTATTAAACATGGACTAAGTGGTGTATTTGATAAAACAAGTGACATGCGAAAATCATCATGTAAATTTTTCATTGTAATTCTTCGTTGTCGTGGTGATAAATTATCTAATGGATGAAGAATTTGAGTAGCTAAATTTTGTATTATATTCCAATCACGTTTAATATCATCAGCATTAGTTGATGTAGCTGTTACTGTAAAACGAATAATATATTTTCCTTTAATAGATGCTGGTACACAATGTATTAAACCACCACTATTGATTTCTTTTAATAATTGTTCAGTTAATTCATTTTCACCCTTGAGAAGAAAAAATTCAAAAAGAAAACAAAAGACAAAAGAAAAATTTTCTTTATTACCTTTAATCGAAATGTAACAAGACCAAGATGTCGTTCAGCAGGTACTTCAAAACGATCATCACTATTAACTAATGATTCAAATAATATACCCATTTGAACACTCTAAAAACAAGAAAAAAAAATTAGATATAACAAATGTCAGTTAATATAACTTTATTTTTTAATGATGGAACTCGTTAAATTGATTTAATTAATCTCTGATCTGTCATTGATAGTTATTGTATGTTTAACTATTCTACTTATCAATTAGTTTCTTAACACATTCGAGACGATATGGATATTGTTTTTCATAATTCGTCAAAGGTTCCGATTCTTTATTCATGGCAGTTGTAATACTTCAAAATCAGCTTTTGTCAACATTTCTCTTATAGATATGAGCTATGAATATTCCTTTATCAGTGGTAAAAGAATTAGCTCCTTTGATCAAAATATGGCATAGATATTCAATTTTTTCTGTGCTAAAGAGACTTTTGGGCCACCATGTAGTGAGACCCATCGGTGGGTCTCATCGGGTTGAATGTGTTAAGACAATTTATTTTCGAAACAATTTCTTACATTTCGAATATGTTTTTGAAGACCTTCAACACCAAATGAACGAATTACAAACCAAAGTTTCAATGCACGAAATCGACGACTCAATGGTACTTGCCAATGCTACAAAAATAAAAGAACATTCTTTCATTCACAAAAAAAAGCAATAATAATAATAATAATAATCTTTTAATCATACCATATAATCAATTGCTACACCGGCATTTTCATGTTGAAGATATAATGGATCGACATTAAATGCTCGATGTAATGCAGTACTTGATTTTACCCTAGAGAAATATTAGATTAGAAGAAAAATGTTGTTTTCTACATCTCAAATCTTACCACATAGCTGTACAATCAAAATGAACCTAAATAAATTAATTAAATTTTATCATATATATTAAATAAAAGAAATAGAAATAACTAACCATCATCCATTTTGATGGATTAAATGCAAATGATTGTGTTAATTCTACACCATTCATTAGATGTCGAAATTCTGGACAAATAAAGGCACTTCCAGCATAAGCTGCATCAACATGTATCCATATATGTTCTCGTTCACCTATTGAAATAATTTCATTTTAAAATAATTCTATTTCATTAATCAATAAAAACTTACATATCGAACCAAGTTCAACAAGATTATCAAAAGCACAAGCTCCTGTTGTACCCAATGTTGCACAAAGCTAAAAATTCTTACTAACTGAAAACAAAACACCGACAAGTCAATGAATATTTTACTTACATAAAATGGAATAAGACCATTTTCTTTATCTTTAGCTATTGCTTGTCGTAATGCATTACCACGTAAACGTAATTTATCATCACTTGGTACAAGATTTAATTTAACCAAACCAATAAGACATGCTTTTTCAACTGATGAATGAGCTTGATCAGAACAATAAGCAACAAGACGTCCATTGATTTCGGCTGGACTTAAATAAGGAAATTGATCTTGAACTCTATGAATAACTTCTTTTCGAGCAGCAAGTAATGCAACAAGTGTTGCTTCAGAAGCTGTTGTCTAAAAAAAATTTCTCGATTACAAATTAAAACAAAAGTTAATATAACAATTTACTTGAATTACACCTCCACCAGTCGTATCTGTATTTGTATGTAGAAAATCATTAGGTAAACCAATCATTTTTGCTAACCAATCCATAACAACTGCTTCTAATTCTGTACATGCTGGACTTGATGCCTATTTTTATAGGAAAATCTCTAAGCGTAACATTTTATTATGCATGATCCGCTAGAAATTATTTCCGATGAGTTAGGATCAGAATTTTGTGCTCACTTCGAATATTTGACATAGAAATTTTGTCTGATTTTTTGTTGGAGAATAGAAAAAAAAGTCTTTGGAAAGTCCAAAAAATTTAGTTTGAATGAAACTTATGAACCGACGTCTCTAGTGAATATGTTTGTTCATTTTGACCTGCTTGAAAGCATTTCAAACGAGTCAAAAATTATAGGTCGCGACTAGAATGTGAATATGGACTTAGAAATATTGTGTCTATTTTTGTTCAAACAAAAGTGAAGAAGTTTTTGGAATACATGGAAAATTATTATTAATGTTGAATCAATAAGTTTTTGTTTACCCTATAGATTTCTTTTCAAATCTGCTACAAATAGACGGATTGGCCGTGCTGTAGAGCAGACACTTCTTCACAAAATGAAACATTGAACTAACGAGGAAACCTTTTCTGATATCCCCCGCCGATTGCAATGAATTTTTGCCAATGAATACTAAATAGTATTCTAATAAAAATTCTAGAACAATTTTGGTTTCTATTGAGATTTGACTAAACTATTGAATTTTTTCTAGAAGCCCCTAGTTTTTTTGGAAAACGTGCATTTTTCAATTTCGATTTGAAACTTTGCGCATATAGAGAATTCAACTAGACTAGCTTCTACATAAAAATTCACAAGTTTTGAGCGAAGTCTCTTTGAGATATGGAACTTTTTAGATATAGATCCCTTTCCATGGATAGTGTGTGCAACATACAGTTTTTGGAACTTTCATATCTTGAAGAGACTTTATTTAAAACTTCTGAATTTTTTTTGTAGAAGGTAGCCTAGTTGAGTTCTCTATGTGTGAAAAGTTTCAGACCAAAATTCGAAAAATACGAATTTTCGGAAAATCCTAGGACGTCTAGAAAATGGACATATTAAAAATTCGATAGCTTAATAGAATCTCAATAAGGACCGAAATCTTTTAGCTTGTTTGTTAGAGCATTATATAATATTCATAGGCAAAAAAATCATTGAAATAGAAAAGGATATCTGAAGAGGTTTCCTCAAAAGCTGTAGCTTTTACCCAAGTAAGGCTATAAACATTTTTTCAAGAGCTCCTTTTCAAAAATGAGTATTTGGGAGGAAAAACAAAAATCGAGATACCTTGTCGAACGACAAAAAAACAATTTGAGGTAGCGTGTTTCATAGAGTAGCTTTTGGTCTATAAGCTGATATATAAATACAGATCCCAACTTTTTATTTCGAATCACAATAGTGAAAATACAAAAATGTACTGCAAAATTTTTAGCCGAAACTAATTTTTCGAGCTTTTCCAAGATGATTTCACTATTCTCGAATAAAAACTGAAGCAAAAATGTTCACAACTCATAACTTTTGATACTTTCTAGCAGGTCGAAAATGCATAAACATCTTTTCTAAAAACTTTCCAATCACTCGTTAAGTATAGGTTATTGTTTATGACTTTCATCTTAAAAAAATTTTCTAATGTAACGATATATCGAATACATTTATTCTTTAGACTCTTAAAGAAGTCTGCAGAAATTTGAAACATTTGGTTAGAATTAAAATTTTATATTATTTCCGAATATAGTTACAACATTTTTCTAGACTTTTAGTTTAGGATTTATGAGTCGACCTTTGTAGAAGTGTGAAAATGAAGCTTGAACAGAAAAAATTCACGTTTTGTTTTTTTTTGCATAGAATTAACTTTATAATTAAAGTATTTTCCAATAGAAAGTTTTACTTAAAATAACCAAGGCTGAAAATTTCAAATGATCTATTAATAACAACTAAGACACGATTTTAAACTATTAAAATATAGTGAATCATGAAGTTGAATAGAATTTATCTTTTGCTTTTTTTTTTACATACCCAAGTAAATCCTATTTGATTTAAACCATTTGCTAACATATCCTAAATAAAAATAGAATAGGAAAATAATGTACAAACATCTATATTATTACTCCAAGTAATGATGGATAAGAATTCAAAGCTGGAAAATAAGCATGCATATAAGGAGATTGCCAATGTGTAATCTATAGAAAAAAAATCAATGAAATATGTAAGAATATTAATTTGAATACAATATACTCCAGGCATGATCACACGTTCGATATCTTTAAAAATATTTTCCCATGATTCACCATATTTTGGTGCTTCTACATCAATCATTGGTCGCATATAACCTGGTTTAACATTTGGAAATACACGTCTTGTTCGAATATTAGTTAAATAATCAGCAATAAAATCAATCATTTCTTTTCCTAAATGAAATTTTTAAAATATAAATTTTTTTGTATATTTGAAATTCTAAATTTTTCATACCTCGTTGTCGAAATTCATCTGCATCCATAATAAAAATTTCTTTAGTTTGACTGTAAATTGTGCTTGAAAGTAATAAAGAAAAACAAATGACGATGAACTGATTTTGAAATAACTCAATTAATTTCTCTTGAAATATAATATCTCTCTATTCTTTTTAATTTCTCAACTGACAATTGGCTGACTTTAAAAGCACGTTAGATATACAAAAAGAAAAGCCTCTATTGTTTGATTCAATCAAGATAAGATGTTGTCTTCTAAACTGATCGATAATTTTCATGAGAAGAACTTTGTCTTTACTTTTGTTTTTAAACCAATAAGTCAAAGGACATGTTCACTAAAGACTATATCTTAATTATTCTTTCGACAATAATAGATTAAAAATGCGAGTGTTATTTAATACAAAATTTAGTCGTGCTAGATTTTTTTTATTTCTCATTTCTATTTTCGTAATATAAAATAGTGAATAGATAAATAGCGTCGTTTGAAAAATCATGCTAGCGGATATTCATAAAGTTCAATTAGTGACTTAAAAGTAAATATCTACGCAGATGTACAAAAATAAATGACAAGAGTAATGATGAGGAATGATTTTTCTTTTTTTGTTGCAGGAAATTCAAGTTTTATTATAATTTATTTTGTCAGGTCTTTTCAATGATAATGTTCATCACACAATTAATTTATATGATAAATTTAGCAATTCTTAAAAAAAATATTCTGTTTTTTTTATAGATTCTGTAATTAAAAATATAAGAGACCTTTGTATACGTGAGTTATTATGAGATGAAAACAAAAAAAAACAAAAGTCTGATCAATTTTTAAAACTGATTCAAACAAAAACATATTTTCCTTGATCAACCGTTAAAGACATTCAAATTTGTATGTATTCTCAAAAAGCAATTTTATTTCTGAATAAATAAAACACGTATGTTTAATAATATACGTAACAAAAAAAAAAAGAACTTTAAGATAAAATATAACGTATAAAAGACCAACAAAACACCCAAGCATATACAGTGGCTGTCAAAATTATCCAACCAGTAGGTTATTTGATTTCGTATATATCTCTAAAATAAAATAAGATAAAATTATCTGTTTTCCATCAGATTACAGCACGTAGTCTTTAGTATACTGGCAAAAAATTTCAGGTCAATACATTGAATTGTTAAGTTTTTATTAACGATACAAACATAGAATGTCGTTTTTCATTCTTACAAAATTATCGAACGGTCCATCTTTACAAATTGTTACGCCTTCGTTCTGAGTTGAAACTTTCTTTATAATACATGATTCAGTAGGGCAACATGCACTCTATGTAAGAAGTACTTATTATCTTATCCTTCCTTTGAGTATGGGTTTAACAAAAACAACGTTTGTCTTTTATCTATACCGGAAATTTTCAAAAAAGAAGAAAACAAGAGACACTTTTTTGATATGTTGTTTAACTAGTTTTATTATTCGATATCTCATTAGCAAAAGCACTATAAATTACATCAGATATTCTATTCAAATAGACATTTCATATTGAAAATTTGTATTGGTCGGTTCCTATGTACACACCAATCATAGATAGGCGTTCTTTTATGATCTCATTCAGGCATTGAAGGAAGAATTAAAAAAATTATTTTAACAGTACAGATTTGTGGGTATCTTATTCCGTACTAAACTCTTATATTTTTGAAATCGAAACCGATTATATTGCATTGTTACGCTATAAATATCAAGAATAAGAAGCTTATTGTTGTTCTTGCAATAACGTAAGAGCAGATCTAATTAAATATGTAGTTAATTCTTGTACATCACGTCTGTGTAGATAGAGAATGAAATTGAAAACAATGTGCTATATTAAATTTCATTTAATACATCTTTGTTTTTTTGGTAAGACACATATAAACGATATAATTGCTTTTGATTTCAAATAGAAGAGCTTTGTACATAAAGAGATTGCCTACAAATTTATGCTGTTAAAAAAAATTTTTATATTTTCTTTAATGCGTGAATGAGATCGTACAAGTAGGTCTGCCTGTGATTGATTTATACATATAGGAGATCATTAAAACAATTTTTCAGCATGAAATATGTATTTAAATAGAATATTTGGTGCAATTTATAGTATTCGTACTAACAATATATTGAACAAGTGCCTTTTGTTTTCTTTTTCTTGAACATTTCCTATCAGAGGTGTCGCATGGGTGGGTTAACCCGTCGGGTTGGAGCTTCCAATGGTTAGCTTCTAACCCAATCCGGTGGGTTGGGTCGACATTTGAAAAATCTCAAAATCCACCCACCCACCCAATTTCAGATTCAAACCCTGTCCGGTTGCCCAGGGTTGACCATTGAATGAACCCATGAAATTAACTCTGTTTCTATAGAATAATTATAGAAAATTTTATTTAATGAAGCTGTCGTTACGATATGGCGTATGTGATTCATCAGTGCCTTAATTTTCTTTGGTCGGTTGATCGAATGTAAATTCGATATAAGTTATATGAAATTTACATTCTGAAATGTAAAATCAACTCCGACGACAGAGAGAATAAAGAGTAAAAAGACAATAACTTATTTTCTCTTTATTTCCTCCGTCGTCGGAGTGTGGGTGTGGGTGCTGATGTTCTATTTTCTAGCTACACCCACACCCACCACGGTGAAGATTATCTTTTTATCCATATGAAAATAAAAATAATATCTATTATTGTATATCCTATAAAATGATTTTTCATTTTATTAACAATTTATACAGCGGAATTTGAACTTGCATTTCTCTTAATAATACTTAATGAAAAATTCAAATATTATAAAACCCAGGGCTAACCCAATGGATTATCCAATGGGTAGGGTTAAGCTGCTCAACCCAACCCTGTAACCCATGGGTTAATAAAAAAAAACTAGTTGAACTGATTTCCACCCAATCAACTACCGACTATGGGTTGGGTTACCCATGGGTTAAAAAAAAACAAAAAACGGCAACTCTGTTTCCTATATAGGTCAGAAAATTTGGCCCGCGAGGAGGAGTGCACAGATAATCTCGCTTGGCTATGTTCCTGCTAGAATCATGTATCATAAGGAAAATTTCAACTTAGAACAGGCGCGTAAAAATTTACAGAAAAAAAGTGATTTGATCATTTTGAAGAGATGATAAAAACGGCAATCGATTAACTTAACATTTCCCATCATTATACTAAAGACTATCGGTTGTAATCTGATGAAAAGTAAATCATTCTAGCTCATCTAATTTTTGAGATATACATAAAATAAAATAAAATAATTTACTGATTGGATAATTTTGTCAATCACTATACATATATGGACGCTTGCTTAATCTTGTTTACGATCAATTGTCCAAATTCCTAATGTATAACGAAGCCAAATAGCTAATATATCAATTCCCATTTGTAATGAAGCAGTAAATGGATCGAGTTTTGAACCTGGAATTTCATGCCAATTAACATCAATTTCAATAATAGGAATGTTTAATTTTTCTGCAATATATAAAAGTTCAACATCAAATGCCCTTTAATAAAAAAAAAATTTTTTTATCATAATTATTTTTGTTTTGATTTTATTCATTCTTACCATCGTTCAACATGCATTCGTGAGAAAAGTTTTTCGGCAGCTTGACGTGAAAATAATTTAAAACCACATTGAGTATCACGAATAGATTTCACAGCAAATAACCAAACTTCAAGATGAAATACATACATAAGTAATGTACGAAATGCTGATCTCTATTTCAAAAAAAAACAAAAAACAAAATTATTTCTTCTTATTAATCAATCAAAAATTTTACTTGTGCTACAGACTCTTTTTCTAAATGTCGTCGTGAACCACAAACAACAACATCATTATTCTAAATTAAATAAATATCAAATCATCAAAAGGACGTTGTTTTTGTTTTGCTTACTTTCATCGCCATTAAAGCACTTTTTTCAAGTTTAGTAAAATCACTAAATTTCGTTGCACCATCTGCATCAGCAAATAAAATCCATTGACCTCGAGCACTTAATACACCCTAATAGATAAAACAAAAAAAAAAGAAATTAATTATAGACATCATATATCAAACATTCTATCTCACCATTCGAACAGCACCACCTTTACCTCGATTTGCATCTAAAGTTAATACACGAACTATATCTGTTCCATATTGAATACTATAATTCAGCGCAACCTAAATATATAAATAATAATTCATTATTGAAAACTATAGATCTTACTTCACTAGTTTTATCAGGACTTCCATCATCAACAATAATCAATTCATAGGTAAACGATGAATCATTTGCCTAATAGAAAAAAAAGAAATTGTACATTTTAGTCATCATTTTAAAACAAATATTTGTATTTCGCAAATAGATGTTCCGATATTTTTCTGAATAATTTTTCATAGGAATACCATAGAGAACTACGATTTTCACCATTCAAGAGAGAAGATTCACGACCATCGAAGTATTTCGAAATTTGATTAGTCGGCAATTGATCAATTAGGTGAGTTCTTCGAAAATGATATTCTGAAGCTATTTCTCTTTCGATTTATGCATGGCCGACTTTTTTAGCTTGTTCCGCTCGAGAGTTATAAGACTTGTCCTTTTCGGGTGGTTGCAGGTCAATTGACTGAAACTAGAAGTGCTCAGAAAATTTTTTATAATTCTCGAATGAAACAAGCTTGAAATACCGGCCTTGTGTAGATCGAAAGAGAAATAGCTTCAAAATATTATTTTCGAAAAACTCACCTATTGATCAATTGCTGACTAATCAAATTTCGATACACTTCAATGGCCGTGAATCTTCTCTCTTGAATGGTGAAAACCGCAGGTCTCTATAATACTCGTGTCAAAAGCTATTCAAAAATACTTGAACACGTTATTCTTTGAAATGCGTAGCAGCAGTATTTATAAAACCTATACCAACCCTAAGATGGTGAAAAAAGTGTAATAAGAATGTCTTTTTTGTTTTTTTTTCTTTCTATAATGTTAAGTAGTTAGCTTAAATTCAGATAGTTGTTTTAATAGTCGATCGAGTTTTCTTTAACTAGGAATTTGAAAAAAAAAATCGGACACAGTAGTTTTCAGATTCGAGAAGACTTTGTCGGAGCTATTTTTTAACAATACCATTTTAAAGAGAAAAAAATGAACAGTTGCTGCATTTTTTATGATTCTCCCTTAAAAAGTTAAAAATATCACAGAAACTCGAAGAAAAGGTGCTTTTTAGTCAGTTTTAGTCTTCTCGGATCTGAAAATTGCTTTGTCCGGTTTTTTTAAGAAACTTTGTCATGATAGTTCATGAAAGGAATCTTGGTAAAAGAAAACTCCATTGGCTATGAAACTTATTATTTGGATTTGAGCTAATTGCTTAATATTAACGAAAAACAATGTGCCTTATTGTTAAACTTTTTTCCATCATTTTAGAATTAGAAGAAGTTCTTGTCTATGAATAGAACTACTATATATGATTATCATATTTCATGAGCAATTTGAAGTCAAGTAGCTTTCTCAACTTAGAGGCTTTATTAATTCGATATAGAATTCATCGACATACCTGACGTCGTTCTAGATAGTCCATTGTATCTTTAATCATAGCTGGTACTAAATAGATAAGAAATAAATTTCATTGAAAAAGTTTTTAAAAAAATGTTTGTTTTATTTTTACATCGATCTACTTCTTTATAAGCAGGAATAATAACAGAAAGATATTTGGAATGCGGATCTTTGAGTGATGGAAATGATTTTCGTGATTTTGTTTTTGGATCTTGAAAATATTTTTCATTATCACTTCGAGAATTCATGTTAAACGAACGTAACAAACAAATTATCTAAAAAAATTAGATTTTTAACTTTATTTTCAAGTTAATCAAAATTATATTAACTTACAGATAGAACAACTAATCCCACAGGTGTAAGTACAATGAAAAGTAAACATAATTGTTCAATCATCTGGAAAAAAATATACATATAAATGTAATTTAAAAACGAAGTGTTCCTAGATGTTTTTCCATAATCAGATATTATTTATAAATATATTCAAAAACCATTATAAGTTTTTTTTTTTGTATGAAAATCTGATGAAATAGCAGCTATTGAAAACTTTATGCCAGATGGGCATTCTTTGATTAGTTTGTTACTTTTAACCAATCAAATTTTAAAGCAAGCAACATCTATCGTATGAATTTGTTTATTTAATATTATAACTCGAATTATATAGAACGGAATGTTTCTTTTTTCATTTGATGGTATAAAAAATTCAAGTTTTGTACAAAATATAAATAAAATCAATGAAACTATATCTACCAAAATAACATGTTGTCAATAAAAGAATTTATTAAGAAGAAAGTATTCAAGTATGAACTCTCTCCTAACTGAAAACTATTCATTTGAATTGAAATATTTTCAACTATAGAACAAAGTGTGACTCTATTTCAAGGTCGAGATAGTGACAGCATTTATTATTCGTTGAGAATGTCGTATAAAGAAGTAATACTGCATATGACAAATTAAAGATATGAGCTTAGAAGTTTTTTCTCTATCATCAGAAAACAAAGAGGTATAGTAATGAAACATAAATGTCAACAATTCAATTCATCTGAGAAATAATTATGAAATCAAGTAGGATTCATTTTTGATAATATACATTTTCATATTGTACGCTTTTATTATCAAATAAAATACAACCGTATTGCTTACGGAATAATGATTCTTGTTTTTTTGTTTATTTATTTTCTTTGATACTGCTCTTTAAAAGGATATCAATATAAAAATGTGTCTGTTGTAGAAAGAAAGTAAAACTTCCATAAAAAAATAGAGAAAAATAGTATTGTTTTATTTTTCGATTACTGAAATAGAAAATTTTCAAATAACTGATTACACTAACAATTGAAAGGATCTCGAAATAAAAAGAAGCCTGTCATTTTGAAATAAATTGAATATAACTGTATGACCAGTGTGGAGGTCGTAGGGACGATGCTCCCACCGAGAATCGGGTTGATTCTTCCGATGTTTTAAAACATCTCTCCGGAAGAGAAAATCTCGATAAAACAATATGCATGACTAAAGCTTGGTCTTTTACTTTTGGTTTCAAAATAATTGAATTTATTTAACTAATCAAACAAATTCGCATTATATATAATGCATTCATCTTACGCTATTTGCAGAACTTAATATTTTTATCAAAAAAATTTTTTTTTCATATTGCACAATTTATTGAGAAAAAAAAGAAAATTTCATAATTCTTTTTTTCAATTATTTCAAAAACATTTATTGCCAAGTTTTAAATTAAAACATCGACAACCAACATTTTTAATACAATGTTCACCAGGTAAACAACATTGAGTTTTATGTGGAGCATAAGTACATTCTGTTTGATCAGGTGGACAAGTTTTTACTTTAGATGGTGCAACTCCATTTGATGCTAAAATTGGATCAATAACAGATTGCCAATCGGCGAGTGACCATGATGCATCTGCACTCACAACTACACCATTAATAAGAAATGTTGCTGTACCAACAACATCTAAATATTAAAAACAAATCAAAAATAAAACTTTTTTTCTCGCATTAATTTAAATTACTTCTTGAACAACCATATTTCCATGAAATACGTGTTTCATCATTTATATCATCACTAGCCATTCCTGCTAAAAATTGATCTTTTGTTACTATACTAAGTTGATCAACAAACGTTGCAAGTGAATCAACAACTTGTGGCATAGTCATGGTTTTTGTGGCATCATTATACCATTTTTCTTGATTTTCAAATACTTTAGTTACATATAGAAAAATAGAATCTAAATTTCGATTTGTAACATTAGCAATAACATGTACGCCTTGAGATGCGACAAATGAATTTGTATGATAAGGAAGTGGAAATGTATGAAAACGAAAATGAATTTTTGTGCCGTATGATTGAATAACTTGTAAAACAGTTGGCCAAGCAGCTTTACAATCTGGACAAAGTGGATCTAAAAACATTTCGACAACAACATGTGCATCAGCTGGTCCACCAACTCCATATCCATCTGGATGAGATGGTATAGGTACTTGTGCCGATATAAAACCAACAAGAATTACACCAAGTAATGCAAATATAGTTGTAAACTCCATTTTGTTATTTGGTTGACGATTCTTAATGTTAAATCTCAGTATGCTTTTTCGATTATATATTTGTCGATTCTTATATACAAGAGATAAGATAAATATAAAATGATAATGTTCGCACATCATCATGACAAGCATGATGGTAGGGTTTTTTTGCCTTATCAGACTATTAACATGTCTTTTTCGCAAATAGATGTAAAAGTAACAACACTCTTTTGAAATAATTGACATACATTCATAGAGGGTACAAGTTCTATTTTGTCTGTCCTCATTCAATAGTGGCCATTCTAGCAACGAAAGTTTTGAGGAGACTGAAATTTAAATTTTTCTCAAAGGCATCATATATGGAAGCTTGAGTATTGCATCAATTGACAGAGCATTACGAACTTCAAATTAGTGTAAGATTTTTTATTGAATGTGTTACTCAAAACAATTTAGAAAAAGCTCAAATTTTTTTTGTCTATTACCTTCCACACAGTGGGCAACGACGTGGACATTAAATGACAAAAATAAAAGTAAGCTTTTTCAAGATTTGAATAGTAACTGAATAAAAAAAAAAAAGAAGTTAATATTTCTATGAAAAAAATTCATTTTTGACAGAAAATAAGTCATATTTATGTGCTTGATAGAGATTACCCATTGTGTGCCATTTACTAACTATTCCATTTTCGTATTGGTATTTGTGAAAAAAGTCGTCTGAAATTATAACGATTATTCTTTGCTTGAAAAAAGCATAGACATAACAATCAACTAGAACGATAGAGGTGCTATCCTTTAGATTGTTCAACTATTTATTGTTAGCAGCTAATTGGTACTCCCTTTGATTTTGAAATAATAGATAAGTTTGTTTTTTTTTTCATATATTTTTACTTTAAATTTTGCTAATAAGAAAACGAAAACAAACTACGAATGTTGAATAGCAAACGCGCTTTTCTTAATAACTGACAGCAAAGAAGATTAGTCATTGCTCTTCAGCCATTAAATCTTAGTTAATTGGTCTTCAATTCCTTTGAACAAAGTCATAGAGTATCATACAGTCAGTCTTCGAGAGATGGAAGCTAATTTACGATCATGTTATTAATCTTGATTCGGCAGCAACCTTTGAAGATCGCTTATTGTCACAGAATAGAAAGTTTAAAATAGAGTATCGCAGAATTAAATTCCATCGACTTCGAAAAACTATGAAAATTCTTTTTAACCAGCATATCCATCAAGTAGCTCCACAAATTGATCATATAGATTTAATTGCGATATTTTTCAATCATAGCAACTCATCTAAAGAATTCCAATAGTGGCTTGAATAAAAAAAATTGTTTCCAACTAAGATTTGAGAGAAACAAACTCTACACCGTATTCCAAAAATTCCAGGATCTCTAGAAAATCTCAAACATGGTTTTTCAGCGCCGAGAAGTCGAGTATAAAACCATTTTTGATTAAAGCCATCGATGCAATAGAAGATCCTAGGTCTTCTATTATGTTCCTCAAAAAAGTCATTTTTTTCTTATCTCAACGGTGTAAGTTTTATAAACAACTCTTTTTATGCTGATTATGTTGTTACTAACATTTATTTCAATTTTTCACGCTAATACAAGTAACAAAAACAGTTTATATTCTACTATTAAAGAATATTTCATAAAACGACTATCTTTATTATAAAATGTACTAAATCACACAAAATACGATTACTTGATACTTCAAAGTAGGCACATTTTTCACAGGAGAAAAGAACTTCAACGTCAGAAAGAACAGAAAAATATTTTTGAAATAAAGATTAGAAATAAACATGTAGAAACAAAAAGTATAAACATGATACTAAAACTAAAAAAAAAAACAACTATTAGAGGACGGTCTTCTATTCTGTGTTTTGTGTCGTTGATTCAAAGGGATCCTCTATTATGGGGGGAGGGTCTTCTAATGTGTTCAGGGCTTTACTTGTATTCATAGAATAAAAGTGAAATCAATATCATTTTTCATATTTAATATAATTAATTTCTAAACTCTTATTCATAAAATCTACTACTGTTTATTTACACATCATGTAAAATCAAATGAAATAATTCAATGAAAAATATATGATCAATAAAAATGAAAAAGATAAAATACACTATTAGACTTTTCTTACATCATCTAATTCAAAACACATACAGTCATTTGTTATTATTATCGGAACAAACAAGTTCAAGATTCAAACAACATAAAAACAAAATGCTAGTTACATGAGATATCTGTTTAAAATAAAAAAAATTGATAAAACATAGCTATGAACAATATATTAAGATTTATTGAGACATATTATCGTTGTTCAAATTCTATCATTGGCTCTAAACAAATAGAATAAAAGAAAAAAACAACAAAAACCTCCATATACATACATATAGATGAAGTATGAAAATCAATGAGAAAAATATAAAATTTCGAAACGATGGTTATTGCATGACAACAATATAAATAAGAAAAACATTCGAAATTAAGATGTAAAGAAAACAAATGAATGAAATAGTCGAATGATAAAAAGTCAATAAGAACTATTCGATTTATTCGGCTATTTTATCTATGTATGAAGATGAGAGAATATTAAAATGAAATATAATTGAATGACATCTATAGAAATAGGCAACAAATGATTTGACACATCATTTTCTATTTTAGATAAAAACAAGAATAGAATGAAACAAAAAAATAAAAAGTAATGAGAGATAATGCCAAGTCAACAAACACATTACTTTAAAAAGTGATACGAATGAAAAATTCAAAAAAATAAAAATAAAATCAATTTGTGTTAAATTAGAATATATTCCAAAAAAACAATATTAATTATTTATTTCATAAGAAGAAAAAAAAAT